TATGCAAAAACTAGATGAGACTGTACATAACCTATATAACAACCATTTAAAGCATGTAAAAGTCATGCAACCACTTACCCCCAAAGAACAGGAAGCATATGATAACGCGACCAACTGTTACATATGTGAAAAACCTTTTGATGTTGTTACACACGGTATCGTTTTTGAAATAGTTTTATTAAGTTTATAGAAATATTGAAATATATGAAACATAAATTTAACGTAAAATAAGGTTATGAATACAATCCGTTAGCCGGCTTATTGATGACTGACTAATTATCGATTTCGAAGTTCGTTCGATACTTTTCATCGCAGGTGGCTGATGTTTGGGTCTCACTCGTACGGCGATAAGACAGTGCTGTAGCAACGGGGGGGGCTTCTTACAATGTATTCAACAAAAAAGTTCGGGACCATTGCCATCTACTGGGAAAATATAGGAATGCCGCCCATAACTCCTGCAATTTGAATTATAAGGTGCCAAATTTTATACCGGTGTTTTTTCATAATCTCACAAACTATGACAGCCATTTGTTTATTAAAGAATTGACTACCAAAGGTGAATCTGTCTCCGCAATAGCTCAAACAAAGGAGAAATATATTTCTTTTTCCAAATCTATTTTGGTTGAAAAATCTGATGATCCCAAAGTTCGTGATTCATTTATAAAACTGAGATTTGTAGACTCTTTTAGATTTTTGGCAAGATCTCTTGATAAACTCAGTGAAACTTTGGATTCTTTAGATGAAGTTAGAAAATATTTCCCCAACGAAACACAATTCAATTTAATGAGACGTAAGGGTGTGTTTCCTTATTCATACGTTGATTCTTTTCAAAAATTGGATGATGAGGAACTACCATCTGAAGCTAAATTTTTTGATAATTTGAAAGGCGAGCCAATCACCGATGAAGATTATAATAGAGCCAAAGAAGTATGGAATACTTTTAAATGTAAAACACTCAACGATTATGCAATGCTATATTTAAAGACTGACGTGCTTCTGTTAGCAGATGTGTTCGAAAACTTTAGAAAAGTGTGTTTGAAAGAATATAAACTTGATCCTGCTCATTACTTGACCGCACCCTCCCTAAGTTGGGATGCAATGCTAAAATATACCCAAATAGAACTTGAATTACTGACAGATATTGACATGCTACCCTTTTTTAAAAAAGGGATCAGAGGAGGAGTAGCACAGTGCAGTAAGAGGCAAGCGATGGCTAATAATAAATTTCTACCAAATTATAATCCCTCAAAACCAGAAAGTTATATCATGTATCTCGATGCTACCAATTTATACGGCGCAGCAATGAGCGAGTCCCTTCCATTTGGCGGATTTAAATGGATACCAGTGGAAAATTTCGATTGTTATTCGGTTAAAGACGATACCTCCAAAGGATATGTTTTAGAAGTGGATTTAGAATATCCAATTAATTTGCACAATGCCCACAACGACCTACCTTTCTGCCCTGAAAGTATAATACCACCAAATGGTAAACACCCAAAGTTGATTCCAAACTTACGCCATAAAGAAAAATATATTATTCACTACCGGAACTTAAAACAATGTCTCAAATATGGATTAAAATTAACCAAAATTCATAGAATTTTAGAATTTTCCCAGTCGCCGTGGTTGAAAAAATATATCGAATTGAATACCACCCTCCGAAACCAAGCAAAGAATGACTTCGAAAAAGATCTTTTTAAGCTGCTGGTCAATGCAATCTTCGGAAAGACCATGGAAAATGTTGAGAAGAGAAAATCTATTCATCTTTCTACCCATTGGGAAAATACAAAGGGGTCCGTAGGTGCGAGGACACTAATAGCAAAACCAGAATTTAAGACATGTTCCGTATTCAATGAAAACTTGGTTGCAGTACATTTGGGTAATGTAAAAGTATATTATGACAAACCTATGTATATAGGATTTTCTGTATTGGATATTTCAAAAACCATTATATACGAATTTTTATATGGCTACATTAAACCTAAATATGGCAATGCTGCAAAATTGTGTTATACGGACACCGATTCCCTAATTTTAGAAGTATTTACTAGTAACTTTTATGATGATATGAAACAAAACATCACTCATTTTAATACTTCCAATTTTTCCAAAAATAATGAACATGGGATGCCTATAACAAATTCTATCGTTGGAAAAATGAAAGACGAGTTTGCTGGTACTATAGTTGATGCATTTTATGGTACAGGAGCCAAGGCATATTGTGTAAAACTAGGCAAGCCCTTCAAGAAGGAAACAGAAATAAAGAAAGCTAAAGGTGTCTCGAAAAATATAATCAAAAATCAACTTCACGTAAACGACTACATCCGGATTATACAAAATGGTAATACAATCTTTAGAAAAATGTATGTTTTTGTATCATCACTACATACAATCTACACAGAACTAAGAAACAAGGTAGCCCTCTCAGCTAAAGATGATAAGAGATATGTCATACCACATGATGTAAACACTCTGGCATGGGGGCATCTACTTACCACCCCAAAAGCAATGACTGGAACCCTGGATGATTTAATACAGACGATGGAAGAAGTGAGCGATTTAGATAATTATGTAAATGATTTTGATTTGGAATTATTTTCCCAATAAAATTTTTATACATACCAGTATCTTTTATTTTTAATAAAACAAAAAAAATATTTAAAAACATTTATTGAAGAAATCTAATATGTAACATAGTTTTGAATAATTCTTATAAGTAATTCGGCAGCAGATAATGTTGAACAAACAGCTATATAGTAAATTGTAATATATAATGTATTTGTATTGCTGATTTCAGATTTGTTTGGGTCTTTGTTGTAAAGAGATAACCATTCAGAGTCTTTAGTTGATCCATTTCCTTTTACAATACGTACTTTATACATTGTACTATTTGTTGGTATCTGTGATTTTAGAGTTGCAGCATTATTTGGTGTATAGGTCTCCATTTTTACCCACTTAGAAGGCCAACTCTCATCTCTTGTCCCATTACATCAAAACATACATACACTTCTCTGGTATTAAAAGGGTGTTGAATCAAGAGGTAATTGCCTAGGATGGCTTGTAAAATTATGAACTGTGTCACTCCCATGATGTAAATGATTTTATTTGTTAGTGTGAAGGGCATATATATATTTTAACACAGCGTAATAAATGATGCTAAATATTAATGGTATAACACTTATTACAAAAAACGTATTTATTCTATTCTTTTCTGGTAGACATGACTTCATCATTCTAGCATAGCTGCAATTTGGACTAAATTTCAAGTGATCGAGAATTGGTACATCATCTGATTTCCATTTGTAAACCTCAATATCACATTTAAAACATCTAACTACATCTTCTTTGCCCATGTAGTGGAATCCAGCTAATGCTAAATCTATTGGAGATACATCACCAGTCCAATTTTCATAAGACTCTAATCTATGATCAAACAATTGCAATAGGAGTGAGTAATCATCGGCGCACATGTTGGTTCTGATAAGCAAACCCAATGTTAGGTGTATTTATAAATAAAACATTTTAGAATTTTTCAAATTTATTCCATTATAAAACTTTTATATAAAAAAAAAACATTTGATACAGCACAAATACAATTATTATTATTATGAAAAAAACATTTGGGCTTCATTGGTTGAAGTGCTGGTTGCTCATCAAACTCATAAACTGGAACTAGGGAATATTTTTTTATATAATTTGCTTTCTCCATACCCTTGACGTAAACCATATCAACTCCTTTTGTTAAAGATTGTAAGATATTTCCAAATTGGTGTACAGGAGTAAAACCTTCCTCCCAATTAATATAATGATGATTTTTCATTAACCATAAAGCCTGCCTATGTAAATCTGGAGAGAGCATTCTAAGAGGAAAGGGTGGCTTGAATACATAATGACTTATGCGAAAACCATCATAAGCAGCAAATTCTTTTACAATAAATTTATTATTTTCTAGCCTAAATCCTTGTACATCCACAACGAGTCTCATATTTTTAGTTTTTCAAGTAGTTTTACAAATTCGTACAATTCAATATCTTTTTTTAGTTTTCCGAATTCGTACAATTCAATATCTCTTTTAAGTTTTAGCAGTTTTTTAAATAAGTTTCTCTTCATACTCGGACATATTAAATGAAATTATTAACTATGAAGGATGTGTTTTATATTAAGTTTGAGACATGCGCATTAATATTGCTTTACGGTTTTTGTTAAAGGATTATATGAAAATTCTTTTTCGTGTAATATGAGACAAAACGCTGATATATCCGTTGACGTGGGCTCATCAGTTTCAAATTTAATTCTAAGAACAATGCTTCCGGATTGAATCACTTCTTTTTGTCTTGAACAATCGATATGTACTAAGGGTGCTTTTTCTTTAAACTCTTGTGGATTAAATATTGGTTGATTTAAATTAAAGTGATAGTAACTTTCCTGAAAGTTTGCAAACACATCATATAATGTGGCATATTTATTATTGGTAAAATCTAAATTTAAATCGTGGTATGGATATCTATCCGAATTTAGAAATACTCGGATGTTGTTGAGTTTACAATGATCAAATTTACTCATATCCTGTTTAATTTGACTTTTTTTATTTTTTTGAAATCCAATAATTATATGCCTAGGAGTTTCTATTTTTGTACTTGTTTTAACAGCCCAAGTATGTCTAGTGGAATTATTAAGTGAAGCATATTCAATCATTTGCCAAGAACGGAATTTAATTGGTAATTCTTTATTACTCTGAACAATTTTATTTAGTCGAAGTTGTTGACTAATACTAGGGGTGACATGTGGTACGTGCCAGGAGAGTGCACGAAGTTCGATATTTGGTTTTTCAGAATCATTAGAACTTATTATGGCATCAATATCATCACTGGAACGAATTAATACTAATTCTTGTTTCATATTCATAATTATTTTACCAAAATCTTCAAAGAAACCTGATAACATTTTTAAGGGAATGCAAACATTAAAGTTTCCATCTTTATCAACTAAAATTTTTTCTGTCTCTACTGTTACAACACCTTTAGAATCTGTCGCAAGTTTTTTAATTTCCTTAGGGAACCACCCAGCATTTTGCATTAGTACACTTTCGTTTTCATTAAGACTCAAATAATTTTTCATGGTCGATACAAGACCTACATCTCTTACAGAATCTATTACGACACTGTTTAGCTCATAACGGAGTTCACGAAACAAAAATGCTATGGCATTGTTAATAAATTGTAGTTTAGTTGGTACTTTTCCAGCATCAGTAAGCAACTTTCCTTCAATATACAAATAACTTTTTGATGGCAATGTGTAAGCATCTAAATCTTGAATGGGGATTCGAATTTCATCGTTATAATTGAGTTTTCCAGTAATGAAGGGTTGATAGGTATGAAATTGATAATCATCTATAGTTGTATCATTAAAAGGTTGCCCGGTTACATGAAGTACTTCCATTATATTAATACTTTAAATCCTAACGAAGTTAAAATTTTTTTATTAATGGGTGTTATTATTGCAAAGGGTTTTGCAAAACTGATTTGTCTGTTCTGGAGGGACAATCTTTTATAGTTTTTAAGTGGATGAAAAAATGATAGAACCATTTTATACTTTTCTAATGTGAAGGGTAACCGTAATCTCTTCTTCTCGAAAATTTATGAGACCACCGCTCTGGTCAATAATCTTTACTGTAATGTTGTTGATTGTCTTGACACTGACAGGATAATACAAGATATTTTGAGAAGATTCCACTATTTTATACCCGCTGGGTACTGTCGGAAAAAATTGGTGGATAATATGAACAGGGTTCCCATTTAAATAGGAACCAGCCGCAATACTACAGTCAATACCTATAGAATTTACTTTCAAAATTTTAACTGGATGATTTGATGAATAAATTTTACCAGGATCAAGCCTTTGGACATCAAAACCAAACACTTGTGCGATTGAATTTGCATTATTAAAAGAAATAATACGATTACTTGAAATAGAAATTTTTGAAGTATTTATGTCCGGTATTATATCTATTTTAGCATTTTTATCTTTATCATTCATATGTTTCTTTAAAACACTTATAAGATCATCTAACTCATAAGCACCAACCGGTACTTTAAATTCATTTAGCTTATTTTTATCACCCCATACAAATAAATTATTGCTTTCATCAATATTTGGAATTGTGGTAAAACTATTGAAACTGACTAATCCTATTTCATAATCTGTATTTTCATCTAAATATATTGGAGGGTTAAAATCATAACTTAAAATTGAAGAGTTACCACTTAAAGTAAATGAAAAAGACATATTTACACAACAAAGAAATGTCTCAGAATGAAAACTTTTTTCAATTATATTGATTATATAGAAAACTCAAACAATAATGGCCGCACTTGTAAGAATTTCTTTGAACTCTATCATAGTTATAAATTATATTTACATCTTCATTGCTATTGAAATATTTAATCAGCTCTAATGGTGGGGCTAAGTTTCCATAAGTATCAAAGTATACAACATCCTTATTTTGTTTCGTATATGCGGTCCAATGTGTCCCAGGTCCTATATTTGAATCCATATTTATAATACCGCTCTCTTTTTTATGGATTGTACGAGGTAAAGAATCTCTCATAAACACTCCTCTAAAATGAGGAATCTGCAATATTTTAGCAAATTTTTTTAAATCTAAATCGGTAAGCGCTCGTTGTGGTAGTATTAGTTTTTTGACATGATACCATATCCTTTATATGGTCTTAAATATAAACCCTTCCCCTTTTTTTTACGACTTAAACCCTGGCCTTTCTTTTCCATAGCTAAATTATGCCGTTTCTGTTCTTCCAGTTGTATGCGGTTAGCTTTAGCATCGTTTACTGCTTTTGCAATACCAGCACCCATACCTCCGACAGCTCCTAAAGCTGATAAAAGAGGAAGTGGTAAAGGTAAAAATCCACCTATTTTCGGTACTCGAATAATTCTCTTTTTAGTTTTTCTTGCTCGTTTTTTTATACCCATTCCAAGTTTGCGTTTACCTTTCATCGCCGTTGTTACAAACCAAGCCGCTGTTTTTTCTCCTAATTTAGCGTCTTTCGAATTAGCCCTCTCCCAAGCTCTATGTTGTAATATCTTATCGGCTTGGTGTCTAGTAATGAGATCTTTACTTTGTGAATATGCAATATCGTGATCTTTGCAAGCAGCGTCTAATTGGTTTATGCCTTTATCACCTCTTTGTAATCTCTTATCAAGTTGAGTCCCAGGACCACAGTAGGAATACCCAGGAATATGTAATTCAATTGGTAGTTTGTTTATCAAAGAATTTACTATTCCTCTTCCTCTTCGAAGTGAACTCTGTCGCTGGCGTTTAACCATTGTGCTATTTATATACTTACTCCCCATTATATATACTCTCAGTCTGAAAAACAGCACATGATCTTACCAGTAACAAATCATGATTTACTTGTAAATGATGAAAAACTTAATAAACATGGTTTTTTGTTTGGTGGTGACTCTAAAAGATGTTTAATTGTTGGGCCAAGCGGAAGTGGAAAGACAAACTGTATGCTCTCGTTAATTGAACACCCAAATGGATTAAGATTTGAAAATGTATATGTGTATTCTAAAAGTCTTCATCAACCCAAATATAGATATTTACGTGCTTTGCTGGAACCTATTCGAGAAATTGGATATGAAGAATATAGTGAACCTGAAGATATAATTAGACCAGAAGAAATTAAAGAAAATTCGTTAATTATATTTGATGATGTAGCTTCTTGTGATCAAAAGATTATTCAAAATTATTTTTGTTTTGGTCGACATAAAAATACAGATTGTTTTTATATTTGTCAGACATATAGTGCAATCCCCAAACAGCTTATTAGAGATAATTCTTTTAGTAATTTTTCAACAAGATATGACTAATTTAAAACATATTTACGATGATCATGTTAATATCGATATGTCTTTTAAAGATTTTATAAACATGTGCACAATTTGTTGGAAAAAAAAAATATGATTTCCTCACTATTGATAAGGATTCAAAATGTAAATTTAGAAAAAATTTCGACACTTTTATAAGTATATAAAGAAATTTATTAATCAAACAATTTAGTCAAAATGAATCCTCGGCTGAATAAACAACTAATAAAAGCTAGGCAAGATTTGAAAAAAAAATACAAAAGTTTAAAAAGTGATATAACAAAATCACAAACTCATTTGGAAAAAACATATCAACCAATAACAGACCCCCTTAAACAACTGGTTTCAGTTTTAGGGAAACAAGAAATAATTAAACAAGAAAATTTAACACCGAAATCAGAAAAGTTTAGTTTCTTGCGTAAACCTCCACGAAAAGATTATAATAAAATAGCATATTCTTCTTTTCCATCGCCAGTAAGTCAAACAATTAAACATGTTCCAGAACATGAAAGCACTCGTTTAAATGAATCAGAGATTTATGAAAATCAACCAGATCAAACGTTTGAATATCAACCTAGAACCAGTGATGAGCAAATTGATGAATATATAGCTGATACAATTAAAAGTCTACAAAATTTAACTACAAACCCACCTCCTTCATTCGTTGAGTATCTGGATCAATTTACAGCACCATTACCTAGAGATTATATTCTTAGAAATATTTCAGATATCGAAAATAAATTTGATCACGTTTTAGGAATTTATCATGATATAGAAACCGAAAAATTTCGTATTGGAGACTCAGAATTAAACTTTGATGGTTCTGATATTGTAATAAAAGGTGTTAAATATCCCGGAACACCTGGACTTTATGAATTACTTTTTTTAAAAGAACCGATTGCATATAAACAAACTGATGTTAATGAATATGTGGATATAATAAAAAGAACCAATGCCGCTAGAAGAAATAATGATCCAGATTTACCAATTAAAAATTTTTCTAGAGATATTAAAGATAAATATAATTTTATTATTAAACCAAAGTTAGAAACAGGACCGTTTAGACGGAGAGTTTCATCAATACCTTCTTCATTAATGAGTGGAATAATGACAAGGAGTAAAAAAATTGGAAAAGGAATGTTACAATATTCAAATAAGCCTATTGATTATAAATATTTTGATAATTACAATGAGTTGATTGATCGACTTAGATTACTTGTAGCATCCCAAACTGCAGGAAATACAGGTAATAATAATGAGATTGTGTCAATCATTGAGGAATTGAGAGAAGGGGGTATAATAATGTGAACCCACTAAAGTTTTAATTAGTGTGACAATGCCAATCAACAAATTCGGAGGTCACTTTTTGAGTAATCAAAGCAATGAAACTAATGTTTTAAATTTTACTTCACCATTTTATATTTGTGAGCCAGTTTCATTCCATAGTAAATGTTTTATCAGATTAAGAGGTGTAAAACGAATAAAATATAATAAAGACTTTTATATTTTGGATAATCAAGGTACTGCTTTTGTTTTTTCCTTATCGGGTAAAATTGAAAGTTGTAAACACTATAGTGCTGATGGAGATATTTTACTAAATTCTAAAACATATAAATATCATCAATTAAAAGGAATTAACATTAATAAAGATGATAAAATCGAGTTTAAACTGGGAACACCAGATGAAATGTGTGCTGATTTTGTTTTTCAATGTCCATTAGAAAAAAATGTCTAAGATTCAAGTTGTTAATGAACTACATAAACCAGCTAAAAAAAAATACAAGCGACGACATGTTATTGTTAAAGGGTTGAATGATCTAATCCAAGCTGATTTGGCTGTTATGATTCCTTACTCTAAAGTTAACAAAGGATATAATTATATCTTGGTTGTTATTAATGCATTTAGTAAATTTGTATGGGCTATACCGATTAAGAAAAAAACAGCTAAAGATGTTACTGAAGGTATGGCTCAAATTCTCTCACAGATGACCCCACCTAAAAATTTACAAACTGATAATGGAAAAGAATTCTATAATAAAGATTTTCAAAAACTTATGCAAAAATATGATATTAATCACTACAGCACTTTTTCTAATTTGAAAGCTAGTATAGCTGAGAGAGTAATAAGAACACTCAAGTCATCATTGTGGAAAGAGTTTAGTCTTCAAGGATCCTACAAATGGTTAGAAATTCTTCCAAAAATTGTTAAAAAATATAACAACACCAGACATTCAACTACGGGAGCTATACCCAGTAAAGTCAATGATAAAAACGCCCAATATATAATCGCATATAATTATTTGAAAACAGTTGATCCACATAAACCTAAGTTTAAAAAAGGGGATCATGTTAGAATCAGTAAATACCGCCACGTTTTCACCAAAGGATATACACCCAGTTGGACCAATGAAATTTTTAAAATTAAGAAGGTTAAACTAACTAATCCAACAACTTACATATTAGAAGATGAGAAGAACGAAGAGATTCAAGGTGGATTCAATACTCAAGAATTGCAAAAAGTTAAATATCCCGATGTTTATTTGATAGAAAAAGTTGTTGCTAGAAAAGGAAACAAACTGCGAGTCAAGTTTCTTGGAATGGACAGTTCCCACAATGCGTGGATAAATAAAAATGATATAGTCTGATATGTATTTAATTTTTTTAATAAAAATATTTTCTTTTAGTTTTGTTTTTTTAATTGTATATTTAGAGGTGGCCGTAAAGGCGTTTGATTTAAGCTCGCATCTCTGAGAGAAGGTGAATTAATCCCACCACTGCCAATTTTTAGAATTTGGTAGGTACTTTTTTATAGGTTTTAGGGATATAAAAATACGTTGGTAAAGCAAATCTGTTTATTAAAACATATAATGACTACAATTATTTTAATATTAATTACTAAAATGCTTAATATTTTCATAAATCTTATTTCTATGGTTTACATCTAAAATTGGATTAATAATTTTTGCTGTTTCTTCAATGCGATAAGTAAATCTCATTCTATCTAACATATTACATCTTCTAGCTTCTCTGTAAGCAAAATTCCAGGTAATCAGCCGGTGAAATACATTTTTATCTTCTCTAAAAGTTACCTTTTTCATAGTTGTAAATCTTCTTTTAATAGCTCTGGGTATTTATAAATTATTTCTAAACCTAGACTGTAGGTAATGGGATTCAAACTTTTTATTGATTCTACAATATTTAGAGCAGTATTCTTCACATCATCGGTATTCTTAACACCCACTTGCAATATTTTGAAACAACTTGTGAATTGAAGACTTTTCAGTGATTCTATGGTATGACTTATTAATGGAAGTATTTTCCAAAGCTCTGTAATAGTAGTGGACCCCAGCCAGATTGTAGAATGGCCAGTCAAGATTTTTAAAACTCTAGAACTTTCAAACTTTTCAAATTCCAGCATAAAACTTCCAACGTCTATAGATCTTCTGCTGTCATCATAAATTTATCAATAACATCTTTATAAGAGAGAAATTCTTCCCATTCTTTTTCACTATATATAACTGAATGTCCTTTATTTCCAGATATTTCAATACATGGCATAAAATTGAATTCATATAATAAACTTATTGCAACATATTTCGAATTTGATTTATTTAAATAAAATCTTTTTTCACCCACCGATCTCTTGATAGGATTTAAGGAGTTAACTGATTCCATGTTCGCAGAGTACTGTCGGAGTCTAAGAGCTTCTCACTATTTATTGGCCGTTTTAGTGGTGGGGGAAATGTTTGATTTCTCCCAACTTTAGCATGTCTCCCCTCTACCAAAGAATGTATATGTATTTTAAAAATATTGCATCAGAATAAATTACACCATGTGTTTGCCAGTATATCATTATTATAATTTACATGCCACGTATGGACACCAGATGTTGTCATGTGTTCGCCAGATGGCCGGGTGCAGGTGTTCGCGTGAGAACCGGATGTCTTTATCTTTCCCAGAGATATTAAATTACATGCCAGATGGTCGCCATATGTTCGCCTGAGAAAATGAAGTTGTTATCATTCCCAGAGATATTAAATTACATGCCAGATGGTCAACAGATGTTGCCATGTGTTCGCCAGATGGCCGGGTGCAGGTGTTCGCGTGAGAACAGGATGTCTTTATCATTCCCAGAGATATTAAATTACATAACAGGATGCAGGTGTTCACCAGATGGTTTGCACATTTTCCTCTGTCATAGGGTTTGCACATTTTGCTCTGTCATAGGGTTTGCACATTTTGCTCTGTCATAGGGTTTGCACATTTTGCTCTGTCATAGGGTTTTCACATTTTGCTCTGTCATAGGGTTTGCACATTTTGCTCTGTCATTTAACCTCTACTACTAACTTCGCCACCTAAAAGAGCACAAAACAATACACAAAAAGGTATACTTTAAAAATGTTAGGAAATTAATCCTAAGCCTGAGTGTATGTTCCAACTTGGTGATAAGCTTGCTTTTTGTTCGCTAATATCTGGTAATT